GAATTAAATGAAATGAATAAATCACCCCAAAGCAGATTAGAAAAGCATTCTTTCCGGCCGACTGGCCAGCCTCATGTTTGTTGCCAAGCAATGTGTGTCAAGCCAGTGTAGGTTGGAGGGTGTTCCTCTCCAACTAAGTATGAATTCGCCTGAGCGAATTTTTCTCAAGCAATTTTTACTTGAGTAATGCCTCAAGTAGTTGAATCAAATAAATGCCGTTCCTATTTGCACCTGTTCACAATCTCAATCATTTTAATTTGTAGTCAAAGCATTTTTGAAGTTCATGCTAATTTTTCACACTATTTTTCTTCCTTTTCGTTTTTCTAAATTTAAAAATTTTATTGGTTTAAGAAAAACTAGAAAGAATCAACACCAATGAAAGCAACAAGGAGAGTTTCTGTATTTTTCCGTACAAAATCGAATAAGAATTCCATGTTTCGATAGCATAGGATAGAAGAACTGATCGTTCTGAGTTTTTCCAATAAACGAAGTTTCATAATAATTATAAAGCTCGAAATTTGAATTACATTAACCAATGGAAAAGACAAACCGTGTAACTCATTGAGTTTTGATGGCATTTGCAAGAAGGCTTCATCCTGAAGAGCGAGAAAGTATTTGCGAACGAACGAAAAATACAGAAACTCTCCTTGTTGCTTTCATTGGTGTTGATTCTTTCTAGTTTTTCTTAAACCAATAAAATTTTTAAATTTAGAAAAACGAAAAGGAAGAAAAATAGTGTGAAAAAAATTAGCATGAACTTCAAAAATGCTTTGACTACAAATTAAAATGATTGAGATTGTGAATTGCGGGTGTATTAGAACGGCATTACTTGACAATTACTTGAGGCATTACTCAAGTAAAAAATTGCTTGAGAAAAATTGCTCAAGTAATTACTTAGTTGAGAGGAACACCCTCTAATCACATTGGTTTGATACACCATTGTTTGGCTCAAACAGGGGGCTAGAATGCTTTTCTAATTCTGCTTCGAATGGCTTATTCATTTCATTTCATTCCTCACTTTGTTTTACTCTGTCAGACAATGTAATTTTTTTTCGTTTATTATGCAGAATTGAGTATATTTATATTCACAGATTTGATGCTTTTAAGCTAAGTCTTTATTGTTTTAGTGCTCGTGTTTTCACTGTTGGGCATCGGCCGAATTGATCCCAGTGAATTGACAGAAAATACGGTAATTGTGAAAGGGGCGCAGTGAGAAACACATCAATCAAGCCGCACACTGAACACCAAAAAGCAAAAAAAATAATTGTAGTTGAACGGGTCGATGTAATTACAGGTCAGCTTGTATCAAACTTTCTTCACTATTCACTTTATTCGTTTATTTGAAATCGAGACATTGAAAAGCTTTCTTTAGACATTCTATACGAGCATCAAATCGTTCATTAATCGCGATTGTTTCTAAAATTTAATATGAATGAGCACAGATTAATGATTCACTCTTTATAAAGTTTCTGTAAATTAGTTGAACTATTTCTTTACAATATTTCTTCGAATAGTGCCCCAGCCCCTCAAAAAAGCTCAAATATGAGTCTGAATCGTCTTAGTACATGTTAAGAGGTGTATTTTTAGTGCACCAGGCCACTATTTAAAGTGATACGGTAACTGAAAATATAAAAGTATGGCTTAACCGATTGTTTCCAAAATTGAATATATTTTTCGAAAATAATGTGCATATCATCGACGGAAAATAGGTTAAATCAAATGAATTCTTTTTGTGCAAACCAATGAAAAGAAATTTGTAATATTCCTTCCTCAAAACGTCAAAGTGGATAAAACCCCGACGATGACGATAAGGGTGAATCAAAAGACACTTTTCGTTTTTCAAAAAAGAATTTTGTTTGTTTTGTCCAGAAATTGATTTCAATCGAGCTAAAAATTGATTTTCCTCCGATAAGCCCATAATTCGAATAAAATAGATTATAATGACCTTCCATAAATACTAAAGCTGCTTCGAAAATAAAGTAAGGAAGATTGTTTAGATCTTGAATCTTTTCATTAGAAAGTATTTTTAGATAAATTCCAGATTGAATGAATTGGTGGAAAATTGTTCAAGAATATATAGGGAGCTTCATTGTGGAATTGCTGTAAATCTGGCATGATTGTTTTGAGAAGGGCTGAAGGAATTCGAGAAGGATCTTCAAAAACTTTGATTCTTTCCCTTGATTTGCATAACAATATCTGTGACGTGTTTCGATGACCCTATCCTTGACACGTTTATAATTGAATCGATTTTGTGTTCAAATCAAAGATATCTTTTTCATGAGACCAATCATTATCAACTTTGAGAAAGTGATAGCCACTGAAATCTTCTCCTTGGTCAATCCTGGCCCCTTTGAAAATAAAAGATACTCGTCACCGGAAGAAGTTTCTTGAAAACGGCAAAATTCATTTTCTTGTCAGAAAACCACTTTGTTTTTTTTGAGCCTCGAAGATATCTAGACATCTTGTGAGTTCTTGCTTTATTATAATACCCATTGCCATATAAACCCCAAATACATGCTTGATCGAGTCTTACTGAACTCTTTTTCCGCTCTTTTCGTCCCATGCAACGATCGCTTCTCTTAATAAAATCCCCTTCGTTTCTTGATCGAAATTTGTTGATTTCTATTTGTGATTTAGTAAAAAAAATCACCCAATTTTGGAAGAGTGATTGAATCACCTAAGCATACTCGAGTTTCAAAAATTTTCTCAATGTGTTGAAGATATTCCAAAATCGTTTCTGTTCCTTCATTCATCTTCGAAAAGGCAAAGTCAATAAATTCGAAATCCAACTTCTCAAGATTTTCAGCATTTCCACTTATGACTTTCAGTTGATTCAAAATTTGTTGACCATTCGTCAAATGTATGTTTTGGCTGGAAGGTTCGCGAAGTGAAGGTTTTGCATATCCGCCAATGGCTGTATCTTGAGTTACCTGGGTGAAGTTGTGATCAATCGCCACCTCTTTGCTATTGCTATCTTGCTGTTGATGTTTATTTGAGTCAAATATATGGCTTTGACCAGGCTTTCTTTCAACACGTTTATCGAGTGGAAATTGTATGGAAACTCGTTCTTCAGCTGTTTGATTATCCTCTTGACTGAATTTTTTGCTGGTGGATTGAATCGACTTTTTGATTTGACTTGTTGTTTGTTTCGAGCGACCTGCTTTGGAAGAATCGTTTACATTTTCCTCGTTCACTTCCCGAAGATCTTGAGTAGAATCGGGTGTAGGCAAATGAAATGTCGTGAGGCCATCAATATTTGATCTCCGCTGGGAAATTCCAAAGGTTTAAGAATCCATTTTTGAGTTTGATCAATCTCGGGCTCAAATGCGTATTTCTGGGAACTCGGAAATATGAATTGATGGTTTGCTGAATTCTTTGACCTTTATGCTATCCACAATTTTCGGGTAGACTTGCTTGCCAGTGGGGCAGGTCGAGCCGATGGATCACCTTGCATACATCTAAATATGTAATGTCCTATGTCAGGGCTAGGATGTGGACATGTGCATTTTCGGGCATGACTGTCGATAGGCGTACAACGGAAAAGCGACTTGAAAGCTCCTGTAAACTCAACTTTTCCGAAAAATCTTTGACTAGAAGATGGATTTTTCGATGCTCAATGATAGACAATCACCCTGAAAAGGCATGATAGCAACTGGGATGTATGAAAAAGTGGTACTTTACGGACAACGGGGAGCGCGGCTTTTTTTTCAACTTTTCAACCAAAATTTCGTTTACCCAAGCACTAAAACCAATTTTTTTTAATCGTGTCTCTGAGTAATTTCAATCACGAATCGAGCCTATGGGAGCACGCTCGCGCCAGAAAAATACTCACTTCTCTCATTGTCCCCAAAGCGAGTCGGCTATTGTTCTCTAGATCCGTGTTAATATTATCTTTCTATTGCTCTATTATTTTTAATTTTTAGGTGATGCCTACTCACAAGAATGATCTGCCCGGAGACACCATGTCGTTGAAACCTAAGCGAAAAGAAGTCCTTCATTGGGGAGTGCTGTCTTGCTCATAGAATAAAGCGACCACAAAAGGCTCAGCCAAAGGAAGCAGAGATGGGGATTGTTTTTGATCCCATTCGTCTTCTCCCACTGTTCCATTGTGAATTTCTTTCGTTTCGAAGGACAATCAAACGTTGATCAAATACGTGAAGCAGAAGCTCAAAATAGACATGGAGAGGATCGTCGAGTGGAATATGTATAAGACCGAACACAGACAAATCAATCAAGATTTTGGTTAAAAGGTTGAAAAAAGACTGCCCCCAATCGCTCCGTCCACCGTGTTATCCGTAAAGAACCTAAAAATTAACCTTGGACGATATGGAATCATTAGAATCATTTCAAGTCAAACCCCATGATTATTGACTTCAACGGGTCATCGCAGCATGGCGGTTTCAGTTTTAAATTTTGGTTTCTCATCTCCCATAACATCGTCACACCATCGTCACACCTGCGTTCGACAATCTCCCAACAAATGAGTCCAACTGCATAAATGTCACTTTGACAGGTCACCTAGATCTTCTTGTCCAGAGTTGTAAATTCAACGAAATACTTGTGCATTCTGTCCATAAGGAACAAGCAATTCGGGACTCATATAAAGGTCAGTTCCAACGGTCGAAACGGTGTCTATTCGCGTCAAGTCCCGAACCAATCCAAAATCGGCCACTTTCAGAATGAAATCTTTTGTAACCAACACGCTAAAAGATATGTAGCAAACATTTTTTTATACGAATCAGATCATCTCACTTTTCTGGTTTGAAATCTCGATGAACCATTTGCTTTTCTTTGAGCTTTTTAACACTGAAAATAGCATCTCCGCCCAGCCCAAAACCGTCGAAATATTATAGATAATTGTAGGATCTTTCATCACTAAATAAGATACAAATGCATTGATCGGCCTTTGCAAACCTGTCCGTAGACAACCTCTCTCACAATATTCCATCTCGAGCATATGATGTCGTTGCCCCAAAAATTCGGCCCTAACGGTTCGATAAAAATAGATGATATTCTCGTGTCGAAGTTCAATCAGGGCTTTCAGCTCCTCTTTAATCTTTTCATCGCTTTGCTCGTTTTTGCCCACCGGGATTAGTTTAGCGGCAATTTTGCTAAAATCTTTAACTGTAGAATAGTGAATGCAAATTTTGGGGCTAGACAAAGGGAACCCAGCCTAGTTAGGTTCACGATCAAAAAGCCTTTGTACTTTAGAGATTTCTACTTCAGAAAAGAACAAATCACAAACAGGATTCTTTAGTTCGAGTACCTATTTAGAGAAATGGTTCAGCAAAGAAAAATGTTTACTTACGTGACCCTGTGGTTTTCTGAAACGAGGACAAAGCCCGAGACACCATTTCCAATCTTTCTCCATTCGCTTGGGTTGAGTGATAGGATAGAGTCCATATGATTTCAAAATCAAGGCACCAGGAGGATAGGCAAAATGCCGAAAATTATTCACAATTTTTGACAGCAATCAGTGGGTTTTATTCATGGAAATCCCATCCGATGAAAATCAATATCAGAAGGGAGTCACCGAGTCTTATCAGCAAGAAAAGAGCCTCGAAAATTTGAGCCCAGGCAATCTCCCAACTCAATTGAAGCCAAAATTTTGGATTTAAAATTCGTTTTTGATCTGCAAAAGAAAATAATCAGACGAAAAAGTCAATGAAGACTGAAGTAAACTGAAAAGCAAAGGAAAATTCGAGTGCCGGGGATCGAAGATCGATTTTTCTAGATAGATACAAGCTCAAATTAGCTTTTAAAAACTTAGGAGCTAACTGTAGAGTATCAGAAAAATTTCTGAAGCAAATCTCCTGGATGTCAGATTTTCAAGAAAAATGCTATTTTTTCACATCTTCGTAAGCTAGATATTCCAATCTACAGAATAGAAAAAGAGTACGCAAATTGGTTCAGTACTTTTCAAGAAAGGCACCCTCGAACTGCAGCCATAAAAACTCATTTTCCACGCATAAAAATTAAAAAATTTTTAAGAGACCAGTGAAATTTTTACCATCTTGTGCGAAATTTAATTCTGCATCTAACCTGAAATTTTGCTAAGAGAAAACTCAATTTTGAGGCCAGTAGAGCTAAAATACTAAAGGTACTCATTCTCAAAGAGGCCAACTTCAAAAGTGCCGATCTCTGGAATGGTGCATTGCCTAGGCATCAGCCATAGCTCATTAGAACAGGCTTGTTTTCCTCTCCAACTTTGTCTTTCATCACTTTGAGATTTTAAAAGAGAAATTTTGAGTTAAAGTAACATTTCTGAAAAATAGCATTTTTCTCGAAAATCTGACATCCAGGAGATTTGCTCTTTTCCTGATACTCTACAGTTAGCTCCTAAGTTTTTAAAAGTTAATTGGAGATTATATCTATCTAGAAAAAAAGGTTTATAAGAATTCGTCAGTAGTTTCCGAGAAAATTGATGTCGAAGTTGACCCGTCAGAGAAACGCGCATTAATTATGCATCAACCCAATAATTACAGATTCAGGTCCGGCAACTCTAATTGGGTATGATGAAGCAGTCAAGGTTCAAAAACTCTTAATAACTCCATGCTTTCCCCTTTGATAGTTTTTTATATCTACCCCCAAACTGCTTATTTTTAATTTTTTTGCTAGTGTTCTTGCAGTTTTTCAGTTATTTTTCAAGAGCATAGTGTATCTTTTGGAATAAAGTTGTTTTCTTATTGATTTTTGGGCTGTTCAAATGTTGGTTATAATCCGCAGTTACTTTTGCAAGTATCTAATATCTAGACCAGACCCAAACCATTTAGCATCATTTCGACGTGCCTGCAGGAGAAAATCAAGATTCGACGGCAGATCTTGACAACAAGTTGACGGATGAGGAAATTCTCACCCTTCTCGCCGACATTCAAGACGATCTGCACAATGAGAAATGGTGGGAATTGTGGAGAGATTTTTCGAGCATCAGCATTTAGGGCCGATACGAATCGATCTCTCAGTCAATATGTGGTCTTTTCGACGAGAGACTGTAAGTACTCGAGGGAACGATATCATCATCACGAATCACATTTCGCTCATTACACGGTTCGTCTATTTGGACAATATCTTGAGATAGAGAAGAGGGAATTCAACTCATTTTGAGCTGGATTGTACATCTAACACCTAAGGGACATCTAAGGGACAACTCGGGAAGATAGAATTATTCATTCGAATCAGTCGTAGCTTCATATTGCTGCTTTATGCCTTGTTGACATACGAAAAATAAAGTAGGATTCTCCTTCAGAACGCACACAACATGAGCTTTTTCCTCTATCGACAAAGACATGATCTCTCGACTGAGAAGTCATTTGATGGCGATTACGAAATGGGAAACGTTTTGGCCTCGAAAACCGTCAAAAATGCGCTTTTGGATCGGTGAGTGAGGGTTCGATAATAAAAAGATGCGAGTCAAAAAAAGCAACTCTGAGCCTTAGCATTCATCGAGTGGCCCTCGTTGAGAATGGGGCGATTTCGAGAGATATTGGCCAAACGATCCACATGGCTGCCGACGAGATTTGTGCCAAGAATTGCCGGGTTTGAGCTTTAATTCATTTCAACGGTCAACAATTGGAACAATTGGAAATACAGCCGAGCTCATTGATTTGGGTCAAGGAATTTAAGGCTAATATTCTTTCATTAGGCTAAACAAGCGCATCAGTGCATCAAATCGCCAACAATAACCCAGGACTGCACTGATTAGAAATGAATGATCATTGATATCATATTGTGGATATTTGCGATTTCAGGCTCACACTCGCCTCTGCTCACCTCGCCGAGCAATTGCATGGTCATCACTCCGGGTGCCGTCCGCTTTGCTGCCATTTTCAGTCCGTTTGGTCTCGTGGAGATCTTTGTCGGGCTATAACGACATCAGTGAAATATTTGACTCCAAGAGTTTTCTTTGCCATCAATTTGTGATTTCCTAGTTAATAAGCGTTTTTGGATATTCTGTGTCACGATAAAGTCACATATTCACAGACATTCCCCTCTCCAATCTTGATAGAGTCTTGGTCTCTGCTCTGAGATTCGGATTGCTTATGAAATGCTGGATTAGTTTATCGCCTATTGAAAGCTGCTCGATAATTAAATTCTTGTTAACTAGTTTATTGTACTGAGTAAATGAATTTCCCTTCAATTTACACTTAGAGCCTTGTTTGTGAGGTTCGTTGGGGCCAAAACATTTACTTTGAGTCTCAGCAAAACGTGTGTTTGAGTCTCAGCAAGTTTATTTGAATGATCTCTTCGAAATGGAAAGAAACGGCCCTCGAAGTAAATCAACGTTCAGTTGGTAGTTGCACCAGAAAGTTTTTTAAAACAAAAGTAGGTGTATAAGAGATTTTTCACGGTCACGATCGAAAGCTTTTCATCTTTTCTTGAGAGAATAAGCGTCTCTTTTGTAAAAAAGAATTCCGTGATAAGAGATCGCTCTTTTTGTTCGGCAAATATTAGGTATTACGGAAAATAACTGGGTTTTTCTCAATGATTTTCAAGTGACTCAAAACAATAATTCAAAACATTTTTTGTGTATTTGTTTGCGAGAAGTGGAATCGGATCTCCTCGATGCAAAACTGATAAAAACGAACGATTATGTGCAGTTGTGATCCAAAACTATTTCGATCAATCTGAGAAAATGTCTTTTTATGAAAGATGTTTTAATGTTTTATCAAAGGATTTCCA